GTCGACGACGGCGAGAAGAACGCGGTGCGAGACGCGCTGTCCGACGTGAGCGCGTGGTTCGACGAGTACATGGCCGAGGAGGGCGTCGAGATGGACGCCGTCGTCGCGCTCGGCGAGCTCGGCGCGCCCCTGTCGCCGGAGCCCGAGATCCACAAGGCCATGCTGGTACTGCTGTGCCGCGTCTTCGACTACGAGCTGAGGACGGAGGACCTCTTGGAGCTGTGCCGGGGCAACCGGCGCCTCGCCCTCGAGACGGTCTGCGGGTTGCTCGAGGACGGCGAGGCCGTGTCGACGGCCGTCGCCCAGCGCCAGGAGGCCCAGGGCGGCCAGCGCGCGGTCTGGGAGAAGGTCGTCGTCGCGCAGCGGTGGGAGCGGAGCCTCGTCGCGCAGGCGTGCTGCCTCCTGCGCGGCTTCACGCACCCGGCGACCTACTTCAAGGCCATGGACGAGGGCTTCTACTTCCTCGAGTGCGGCGTCGAGCTGCCGGAGTACTGCATCGAGCAGTTCTCGCTCGAGATGCACGGCCTCCTCGCGGTCGCGATGCGCGACCAGCTCGTGGAGAAGCTCTCCTACGCGCTCCACGACGCCCTGTTCCACGGCGAGGCCCGGGTGCTGTCCAACACGGAGCACGCCGCCGTCTTCGCGGCGCACAACTTCTTCCAGAATCTGTACCTGTACGGCGGCGGCGTCGACGCGCCCTTGGAAGGGCCGTCGCTCGCGGAGATTTATAGGGGCCACCTCATCTGCGACACGCTGCTCGTGCCCCATCTCGTGCTGCCCTACCTCGAGCGCTGCATCTACCACGCCCAGGTGCTCCACCGGCGCCACCTGGCGTCGCGCGACGCGCTCGCGATCCTCGGGCCCGAGTGCGAGGGTTTGGTCGACGACGTCACCGCGCGCGACATGGACGACCCGGCGCTGACCCACGGCATCGCCGCGACGCTGCGCACTTTAGTGATTGCGACGTTCCGGGCGCCGCGGACCCGGGTCATGTTCCAGATCCTGCGCCGCTTCAACCCGACGCCCGCGCTGCTCGAGATGAAGGGCTTCGTCGCGCGCCACGAGTACGTTTTTACATTGCTCCTCCAGCTCAACGTGAACATGGGCTCCTTCGACGTGTCCCGCGGGGCCATGAAGGAGAGCCTGGCGGACGTCTACAAGGGCTTCACGCTCCTCCAGGACGTCGCGGACGTCTACGCGTCGCTCGACGGCGACAAGAAGCGTAGAATTTTGCGGCGCCTCGAGCAGAGCGGCGCGCTGCCGCTGGCGCGCGACACGCCGTCCTACACGGCGCTGCTGAACCTGCTCTGGGGCGGCGGCGGCGGCCAGTTCGAGTACCTGCGGACCGCGCACCGCGCCGCGGTGTCGCTCATGGAGGCGGAGCTCGACGGCGCGCTCGCGTCGAGCGACGACGACGACGACGGCTGCGGCCTGGACCACGACGACGACCTCGGCGAGACGGCGGCCTTCCGCGACGCGCGCGCGGCGGCCAAGGCCGCCGCGGCGAAGCGCGTAAGCGACGCGACGGCCGCGTCGGCCGACGACGACGACGACGACTCCTTCGCGGGCGACGACGGGTCCCCGGACGTGCCCGCCTGCGACGGCGGCGAGGCCGAGGGCGGCGTCTTCTTCCACACCTCCGGCCGCGGCGACGACTCCGAGCTGCTGACGACGTGCAAGCTCGGGGGCGACGCGCGCGGCGAGCCGCCGACGCCCAAGATCTCCAAGCTCGCGCCGCCGCCCAAGGCCGACGCCCCGGCGCCGGCCTCCTACGACGACGCGCCCAAGGTGTTGAGCCTCCTCGGCGACCTGCCGACGCTCGACGCCCACAGGAAGGACCGCAAGCCCAAGAAGAAGGAGCTCAAGGCGTTCCTCGATCTCGATCTGGAAGTCCCCGTCGCGCAGCTCCACGTGAACAACGCGGACCACCGCGCGGAGCAGCGCGCGCTGGGCTACGTCCAGGGCGACCGGGGCCCGCTGTCGCCGACGAACATGAAGCCCGTCGCCGACGGCGCGGTGCCGCGGCGCCTCTGCTGCGCGATCAACGGCCACCTCATGCGCGACCCCGTCCGGGCCCGGGGCAAGCCCCACGCGCCGGCCTTCGAGCGGGAGACCATCGAGCTCTGGCTCGAGACGCGCGGCTCCGTGTGCCCCATCACGGGGGCGCCGTTGGAGAAGATCGACCTCGCGGCCGACGCGGCGCTCCGCAACGAGATCGTGCGCTACCACATCGCGCGCACGACGCTCGCCGACGAGCAGGACCCCTTCGAGCTCATCAAGGCGTCCAAGACCACGAACGACAAGGGCGAGCCCCAGACGCCCACGCCCAAGGCGCGCGACGACGACGCCGAGGCCGACCTCTACGACTTTTGAAGCGCGGTCCCTGCCCCTTTAAACAACACGCCCCCATCATCGGTAGGGGACGAGGTCCGCGCGCGCGTAGAGGTCGAGCGCGAGGCCGACCTCGTAGAACGACGTCACCGACGACGAGGGGACGTCCGCGGACGTGTGCGCGAGGAGCAGGTCGCCGCAGACCTGTTTCAGCGACGCCTTGGTGACCTCCTGGAGCAGCGCGTAGTCCTTGTAATAGGCCGCGAGCGGCGTCTCGCGCGCGCGGTTCTTCTCCGCGAGCGCGGCGTCGACCGCGGCGTCGATCGCGTCCAGCGGCGCGTAGGCCGCGAGCGCCGAGTACTTGAGTTCCAGGATGACGTTTTCGCGGTCCGCGTAGGTCGCGTGCTCCGCGTCGATGGACGCGTCGAGCGTGACGAGACCCCGGGGGAGCCCGAGCTCCGCGGCGACGCGCCGCGTGACGGCGCTGATGCCCGTCGGCGTCAGCGGGTCGCCCTGGGTGACGAGGATCGCGTCGCCGTCCGACAGCCGCGGCCGCAGCGCCGCGCAGACGCGGCGCGCCACCTCGTCGGGGTCGCGGCCGTCTCGCCGGTCCGTGCCGCCCTCGATGACGATGGGATGCAGCGTTTTCAATTTGCTCAGGGCCGCGGCGCCCGTGAGCATGGTCGTCGAGAGTTTCATGCAGCAGAGCGTTTGCGTTTCGCGCGCTTTCAAGAGCCGGACGCAGCTCGCGAGGCAGCTTGCGAGAGCCGGACTCTGCACGAGAGCTCAAAACATCCAGGCTCCATAAGGGTGCAACATTGGAAATATGCTGACATTGAAGCATATATCCCTACGATGACGCGATTTCGGGTGAGCTACACGCGTCGTCAGCTTTTTGATAAGTGGACCCCGCTCACGTCGACCATGAGCTTCCTGTTCGACCCCGCGTACCACAAGGTCGGCAAGAACGGCGTGTGCGCGCCGGCGTCCGTCCGCCATGCAACGCCGCGCGCCCGTTTTTTTTACGGCGGCAGCCCCGCTTTTCCAAAGTCGCCTCGCTCCGTTTTCCGACGCGCATCCTTTTTCTCAGGTCGCCGTTCCAGAACATGTGCGCCTACCTCGGCGGGTCGGCGATCCAGACCGTGGGCGACAACCCCGTGACGGCCTACCGGCAGCTCGTGCAGCAGTACGCCAAGGACCTCAACGGCAACACCGTCGCGCCCAAGGTCGCGGTCGGCGAGGCGAACGCGACGTTCATGAAGAACCCCGTCGGCGCCATGCTCAGCGGCCTCTGGCCGCGGCTCATCGGCGTGCTCCTGAAGCGCATCCCCAAGTTCGGCTTCCTGCTGGGCTACTCGTTCGTCGTCGGCGAGGGCGACCCGGGCTTCGCGGCGGCGACGTGCGCGTCCATCTGCAGCGCGCCCTTCATCAACCCCGTGCGCCTCGTCGAGAAGCAGCAGCGCGCCTACTTCAAGACGACGGGCACGGAGAAGCCCATCCTCGAGATCCTGAGCGAGGCCAAGGCGAAGAACTTCGCCCCCCTCTTCCGCGGGACGATCCCGCTCATGGGCCACTCCCTCGCGTCGGCGATCCTGGGCCTCGTGGGCCAGCCGAAACTCCAGAAATACGTCCAGAAGGAGCTCGGCGCCTCCGGCTCCTTCTCCGGCTCCGCGACGAACCTCGTCGCGTCCGCGGTCGTCTCGCCCATCTACGTCGTCGTCACGAACCCGCTGAGCCGCCTCGAGGTCATCATGCAGACCAACTCCATCAAGGGCAAGGCCATCAGCCCCATCGAGGCCGTCAAGGAGATGACCGCCGACATGGCCAAGTTCGGCCTCAAGGGCATCTTCCGCGGCCAGGGCATCGGCATCGCCAAGGCCATCGTCTCGCTCACGCTCTTCCACGAGGGCCGCATGTACATCGCGGCCAAGTTCAAGGCCTCCAACGAGTCCAAGCTCGCCTAGGCGGCGCCGTGAAAAAAACGGCGGACCTGAAGCGGTCCCCCTCGCCCGGAGCCGACCGTCCCGCGCGGCCGCGGAAAGCGCGGCCGCGCGCCCGCCGGGGTCGCGCCCGCCGACCCCGCGCCCACCCTCCGCCTTCGCCGGCGGAGGACCGACGGACTACAATAACACGAAGCTGTATGGACCTCCGGACCCAGAGCGGCGCGCGGATGTGAGGCGAGCCATGGTTGAACTTGGCAACAACTTCAAGCATCGGGTTTTTGCAGCCGGACAGCACACTGCCTTTTGGGCCGACAGCCGATGTTTCAGCCGCTGGAAATCGACGATGTCTGGCCCTCGCGCCGGCTGTACTGCAGCGATTTCGACGCGGTAAAGCCCTAACGTTCCACACATGGACCCGACGCGTCGGTCTGCCTATTTTTTTCCGGCGCGCGGCGCGTCTGCGCGCGAGGAACACTGGTGGTGGCGGCACGGAGCGACTGCAATCGGTGCGGTCCAGCGTTTCTGCGCGCCCACTGGCTTCGTAGCGTGCCGTTTTGCGATGGGAGCTGCTTTGTATATGTCTCGACGTGTTCCAACCCGCGGGTGCGCTGGGAGACGGATTTCGCACGCGCTCGCGACCTCGACGCGGTGGCGCGAACGCTGTACCGAGATCATGACGTGCTTTTGTACGTCAAAACAGACTTCTCCGAGAGCGCGCGAGCTACGACGGCTGACGAACGGGCCCCTACGACTCGCCCAAGGTGTCGGACGCGTCCCTGCGACTCGTTCTGGCTTGCCGACGGTTTCGGGGTCGTTTTCGGTGCCCGAGAGGCGCTGTTTTCGCCGACGAGAAAACGCTGCCGTCGCGCGGTCTTTTTGGCCGGACCGTCGCGTATGGTCATGCCGACGTGCGCGCGGCCCTTTAGAGCGCCGAAAACGACTCGTGTGTCGTCGCGTAAGGGTCGGTTTGGGGCTGGATTCCCTCTAGGGATCGGACGAACGCCATCCGATCGCTGCAACACCCTCACAACTGGGCGTGAAAGTTTGCTGGGCCCTTCCTTAGGCGTACCCGCCTGTGCTTACCAATTTTTTACCATAGAAACTACCATCGTCGCGCGCACTGGCCGACGGCGCCCGCCGCTCCCGGCGGATC